CCCCTGTCCTCCACCATGCCCCCCACCCTGCCCCTGCCCATGCCCATGCCCGCCACCCCCCTGCATATGCTAGATTTATATAACAATTTAATATATATGTAATTGTATGTATATATAATATATGATATAATGATATACATTTGTAATTGATTGAGCGTTTGAAATAAATTACGGGTTATTTGAGCAGTTTATTGTTTTTTATTTGTATACTAGTTTTTGTGTAGCGGTTTTGCTCGTGTTCTCGTGGAATAAAAGTAGCCTTTGTGCTATTAGAGGCCAGAATCTATCCCTGTTCTAAACATCATGATCCCTTCAACCATTTTGATGTGATTAAATAACAAACATAATATACACTTATGTTTTTATCTACAGAATTTTTTTTCAGTATATAGAACTGTTTTCTTAATCTTAATAATTCTGTAAATATGATAAACTAGCGACCCGCCCCGGCTTCGCACGGGTACAATATGCATGTATTACACAAACCTTCCTTAAGAATCACTCTATCTATTAAAGAAAACCGCATCAAAATCCGTTGCGTAGTTTTAAAGATCTAAGCATACATAGGGACAGACAGACGGCGGATAACGACTTTGTTTTATACTATGTAGTGATAAAAAATGTATGCCTTAAAAATACTAGGAAAAAGGGAATGTAAGTACTTGACAATACTTTGACATGTTAATTATTGTTTTTGGCGTACTCACGTAACTGTTTGACGAAGAATTCGACTAGTTTTAAGCCATGCTAGAGGAGTAGAGGCTCATATTCATGAGCAGCATTCCGCATCCTGCGACGTCGCGACCGTCGCGGGTCGCGGAATGCTGCACGCTGCTCATGAGGAAGAACCCATCTGTGTCTAGAAACTAGTAGAGCTTTTCTCAGTATATTCACGTAAGTAACCCGCGAGTTTTAGTTAATTAAGTGTCTCACGATAGTTGTTATAAAAACATAGGTCATCACCAGCCTATAAATGCCCACTGCTGAGCGAAGCCTCTTGTCACACAGAGAAGGTTAGAGCGTTAATCACCACGCTTGCTCAATGCGGGTTGGCGATTTCAAACTTATAATTAGAAATTATAAGTCCAGGTTTCCTCACGATGTTTTTCCTTCACCGTTTGTCAGTGGTGTCTAGATAATCTTAGAAAGTACATATAACTCGGAAAAAGTCACATTGGTACTTGCCGTTGGTAGGTTTCCAACCCGCACCCTCATGCATGAGAAGTGGGCGTCTTAAACCTCCGGGCCACCACGACATTAAAAACATAGGTACTTTATATATATTAAAAATCCAAAGTAAAAAAAGAAAAACAAAAAAGAAATCAAATAAATATAATTTTTATTTTGCCAAAAAGATACATAATACATAAATAAAACTTTACAAATATAATATTCATTAATTTTGTTTTTTGAATAGATACACTATAATAATATAATTTATTTTTTCAATCCAGGCGTTGTTCTTCGAAACAGACTTTACTACACTATAACGATAATTTTGAAATTGATTGGATAACTTATAACAACATGAGATCATTATTAATTTTAATTATGAAAAATAATTTACGAAAAAACAAATCTTAAATAACTGTCAAACACCAAGCGGTCACCGGTGACCGCAACCTATTGTTCTATAATTGTGTCTACGAAACCGGTACTCGACGAGTTAAATAACAAAAATACGGAATATTTTTTAATTTTTTTTTTTAATAAGTCTGTACGAAAACAATAAATCTGAAGTATTTTTTTATTATGCTTGAATTTTTAATCAAAGTGCCATTTTGAGGGACCGGTCAGTATAAGTGCCGGAACTGTCCCGAGAGACAACGGGATAGGGTCCATTAATTAACGTGTTGCTTGTATAATGGGACGAACAGGTGTTACTATCTATAAAAAAGGACGGCCTAGAACCCCAACGCCTAAACCTGGGTACCCCAAACCTAAACCGAGGCCCAAATTAGGACTGGACTCGCAAACTGTGGTTCCGCCTCCAATTCCCCCTATCCCGCCGATCCCGCCAATCCCGCCAAGTCCGCCCAAGCCTAGGCCCAAACTGCTATAGCCAAGACCTCCGAGGCCAAGTCCTAAGGGCATGCTTAAGCCTCCCAAACCGCCGAAACCTAAACCGCCCATACCCCAGCCGCCATAGCTAGGTATGGTTTCACAGACAGTAGCACCTCCCAAGCCTCCTAAGCCTAAACCTCCAAGGCCTAAACCACCCAAACCTCCTAAACCACCAATAGGGCCAAGTCCACCCAGTCCTAATCCGCCAAGACCCCAACCCATGTTCGGTGAGGACTCACAAACGGTAGTAGACCCCACACCTAAGCCGCCCATACCTAAGCCTCCCATACCGCCTAAGTAGCCTAGGCCTCCGAGTCCAATATTCGGTACGGATTCACAGACAGTTGTGCCAAGACCGCCGAGTCCAATACCACCCAATCCACCAAGGCCAAGGCCATAAGACCCCAATCCTCCCAAGCCTCCCAAGCCAATTCCTCCCAAACCGTAGTTAGGTACCGACTCACACACAGTAGCGCCACCTAAACCACCCATCCCCATGCCCATCCCAAGGCCGCCCATACCGACTCCTAGGCCAGGGCCTGATTCGCAAACTGTCGTTGATCCGAGCCCGCCGAGGCCGACTCCGCCGACTCCGCCGATTCCACCGAGACCGAGACCGCCCAAACCGAGTCCACCCCATCCAAAAGCTGGGACAGATTCGCAAACGGTTGCCGAGCCTAAGCCGCCAAGCCCGATCCCTCCGAGCCCAAGACTCCCTAGTCCGCCAAGTCCGCCGATACCGCCAAGATAGCCGAGGCCGCCCAAGCCGATGGGGCCAGATTCACAGACTGTCGTGCCCAGTCCGCCGAGGAAGTTGGGGCCGGACTCGCAGACGGTGGTGCCGCCCAGACCCAGTGGGTTGCATTGGGCGACGCACAGGAATGCTAGAAAAATGAAGTGATTGAAGTCAATTTTGACATTCGTAGTGACTTAATTTAATATGTGAATATTATTTTTTGTCAACTGTCTCGTTGGTTAAATTGTAAACTAGAAGTGATATTGCATATCATATTGTCATATCTCTGTACCACCTTAAGTTAGGCCTATTGCCATATACCAGGCACAATTCCAGGCTCTGTGTTACTACTGAGGATTTTTAAACAACCCAGTAATACTTTGCCCGACCTGGGAATCGAACCTGAGACCCGTTGCGACCACTCAACCAACGAGGCTAAAATAATAATTTAAACAAAAATCCAACTCACCAGCTAATACAATTGCTTTGGCAGACATCTTAATGCTTGGACAGTCTGTGGTTCCAACAAAAAATATTTCGCAATATATACCAAAAAAATTTAATTAAAAATGTATTTTGAAAATCATCTGTCATGGTTCACTGCTCACATCATATTATCATCAGATAAAGGAATTATATTTTGGAAAAGTTAATTAAATAATGTTTTTTTAATAAGTAGGTAATGCTACGACGTCGTAGAATATGAAAGACTCTTTATTTGTTTATTTTTATGTGATAATCAACCGTCAATAAATGCCCACTGCTGGGCAAAGGCCTCTTCCCACACGCAGAGGGTTTGAGCATCACACCAAGCTTGCTCAATGCGGGTTGGCGGTAAACTCATAATTAGAAATTATAAGCCCAGGTTTCCTCACGATGTTTCCCTTCACCGTTTGTCAGTGGTGTCTAGATAATCTTAAAAAGTACATATAACTCGGAAAAGGTCACATTGATACTTGCCGTTGCTCATGAATGAGAAGCGGGTGTCTTAAGCCTCCGAGCCATCATGACACCACACAATATTGTTATATATTTATGACAGCAATTTGAAATGCATCTACCAATCACTCTTTCTCTGCGTCACCCAAAGGTCAGACTGGGAGAAAATGTCTACGGCATTTAGCTTAAATAAATAAATAAATGAATCAATCTTATACTATTATATAAAGCGGAAGAACTTATTTTTTTGTTTGTTTGTTTGTTTGAACGCGCTAATCTCCGTAACTACAAGTCTGATTTGAATAATTATTTTTGTGTTGAATAGTGCATTTATCGAGGATGGCTATAGGCTATAAAACATCACGCTACGACCAATAGGAGCTGAACAGAGAGTGAAACCGCGCGGAAGTAGCTAGTTTGTTATAGCAGCTGTTTTGGGAGGATGTAGCGGGCTTGTCCCATTAAAAAAAAGGGACCGGGCAGCAGCGCTCTCTGATAAACCTATACCTTTTATTGAGCAAGTTACAAGTCAAAGTAATGTATTTTACTTACCAATAAAGTGAAGATGGATTTTGATATTTGAAACGTACGTACCTGAAAATAAAAAATAATAATTAATAAATTGGACATATACATACAATGGGCTCACCAAAATTGTCCAGTCAACTGATGGTGGCGTGGACTGTCCAGACGATACGTACTTACGTATCGTTATTAGCTGATGGTAACATGTAAACAGTGGCTCATGTAGTGGAGAGATTGTCCAGTCAACTGATGGTAGCGTGGACTGTCCAGGCGATACGAACTTAGTTATTTATGACTTATTTTTCATATAGTATTAATTATTTTCTAAATAATCCGGCTCGAACTTGACTCTTAAAATTTTAATTAATCTTATCATAAAATTATTGATATTAAATAGTTTTTAATAACAAATCAAGCGTGGTAGTCACTTCAATCTAATTTGGACTGTGAAACTTACTGTTTAGAGTTCATGTTTTTATGATAGGTTAACTTTTATGGTGGAACAGGCATTGAAATGTATATTAAAATTAAAACAAATTGTTCTTCAGTCATTTTCAATTCGCTATGAATGTGTTACTGTTAATTTTTATTGGTATGTATTAGTAGTTTTAATTTTATTCAACAGTCCACTGCTGCACTATGAGTCTTCTCTACATAAGAGGGTTTGTCACAATCTCCGCAGGCAGGCGGGTTGGAGGTCGCAGTATACAAGGTTCAGGTTTTACAGAGAGCGCTGCTGCTCAAATATTATTATGTAGTCTCTTAGTCGGGTAAACAAAACCCGCGGTGTCATCATCATCATTGTCAACAGCCTATAAATGCCCACTGCTGACCAAAGGCCTCTTCTCACACAGAGAAGGTTAGAGCATTAATCACCACGCTTGCTCAATGCGGGGGCGATTTCAAACTTGTAATTAGAAATTTTAAGCTCAGGTTTTCTCACGATGATTTCCTTCACCGTTTGTCAGTGGTGTCTAGATAATCTTAGAAAGTAAATATTAACTTGGAAAAAGTCACATTGGTACTTGCCGTTGGTAGGTTTCGAGCCCGCACTCTCATGCATGAAAAGCGTCTTAACCGGGCCACCACGACCTGCAGTCTGCCATCATGAAATTTCAATAATAATTTATTGATTACAGGTTTCCTCATCCGCTCAGTGGCTGCTGGATTTGGCTTCGGGATCGACACGGACAAGAGACAATTTACATTTCGATATAACTTTATACCTAGAATAATTCCTAAGCTCAATTGCTGTCCGCAATTTTATGTAAACCCTTAGGACTAAATAGGGGTCTAGGGGTCATATGTCACAAGACCCCTAATAGACATATGCGTTTTTTATAGGGGAAAATTAATTCAAAGCCTTCACGCGCCCGGGTGAATCGAGAGGGAGTGTTAGACTCTTGCTGACTAAAAACTACACCGTTCCTACTCCTTCACTTCAAGCCAAAGCCCCGGCAACCCGTTAAGTCAAAGTCAAAGCATTTATTTCAATTAAACCATGATTTGGTACTTTTGAAACGTCAACAAATACAAAATAAATAATAGTCTGTCAGTCTGTCCGTCAGTGAAGCTAGGTGCTCATTCCAAATGTATATTCGAATGGAGAAGAACGAGCAAGAAACGCCATTTGTTACTCTTTTAAGAAACACCCGAGTTCTCCACGGCATCCGTATTGGCATCAGCCCTATTGGGCCCCATCTGTGGTGGTCCGATGGCATTTTGAGTTGCGCGCGGGACGTGACGCGTTGTCATAAGTTTCTTTGCAGCTGTTTAATAATTAATATTGAAATGATGAGGATGATATAGATTATTTATAGGATATAAGCCAGTAAACGAGCAGACGGATCACCTGATGGTAAGCAACGCGCCGCCCATAGACACATGGAACACTAGAGAAGTTCTTGTATAAGTGCGTTACCAGTCTTTTTATAAGTAGTACTGATGAAATAAGTTTTGATTAAATGAAAGTTTTGGAATATGAGGGGTCCAAAAATGGGTTTATTGGGGGTCATAAATCAAATATAAGAGTATGTAAGGGGGTCAAAGTTTTCAGTAGTCCTAAATATTTTATAAGTAAGTATGATACTGTTTTGTTTTGAAATAAATATGTACGATTATTCATAATATTGTTTTATTTGTTTTTAAATAAGGTCGATTGTGTAAAGTTCATTATATCAGCTATAGGACGTCCACTGCTGAACATCGACCTTTCCAGAGTTCCAGATAGGTCGTTTAAAGCGACCTGCATCCAGCAGCTCCCTTTTTTTTTGAGGGCGGAAATTCGTCTAATGACTTCTCTCGCCTGGGTGAGGCGAGAGGGAGTATCAGACTCTTACTGAATAAAAACCACCCCGTTCCTACTCCTGCACTTTGAGTCGGAGCCCCGGCAACCCGTTAAGTCTTCCGCGGCTCCGTGTCCAGTGGCTCCCTGCGACCTTAATGAGGTCGTTTGTCCTGACCTTGCAGGTGGACGTCCTACGCTACGCTCAGTACATGGCCTCCATTCGAGAACCTTTCTGCCCCAGCAGCCGTCATCCGTTCAGTCATTTACAATGTAATCTGTAATAGAGTGCATAGATCTATAGACGCTTGTATATAGCGAAAAGGAGTAAGACACGAACCTCTGCCCGCGATTTCGTACGCACATATAAGTAGATGTTTCCTGTTTTTCCCGTCACCGTGGGAATTTAGGAAAGTCCTCTCTTAGTACCCTTTTTTATGGAATAGGAGGTAAACGATCAGACGGATCACCTGATGGTAAGCGATCACCGCCGCTCATGGACACCCGCAACACCAGAGGAGTCACCGGTGCGGTGACGGCCTTTTAAAAAGGAATACGCTCTTTTCTTGAAGGTTTGACGGTCGTATTGGTTCGGAAATACCGCCGACGACAGATCATTCCACAGTTTTGCTGTGCGAGACAGGGAGCTACGTAAGAACCGCACAGTTGTGGCCTGCCAACCCTTACACTCCCAAAGGAACAAACAGCCAAATGTTCTTTAGGTTGGTATTTTCATCGGATCAGTCAGCCTCACCTGTCAATTGAGCTGATTGTAAACCAACACATGCGTACTGCCGTCAGAACGGGTCCGCTCAAACTGTTTTGGTTACATAACATTATGCCTTTTAACCTCGAAGGGTTAGACTAAGGTGCACATTACGGCACTGAATGCCACTGTACAATGTAACACCCACTTTTCACTATTTATGTTATGAGTTCGATGTAATACGAGTAAGTCTTATTGCCATATACCGGACACAATCCCGGATCCCGGGAAAAAAACAGTAATACTATCTGCTGTGGTTCTTTCCTCAAAAGGCCATTATTGCAAAATGAACTTGCACGGTTCTCACACATAATCTTTTATATCCATATTGTCTGGACTTTAAAAGAGACCGACTACTGAGTTTGTTTCGGCAATTCTTCTCAGAGTAGTCAGTTAGGAAATGTCGACCTCATCGTTCGCTTGATAAAATTGACGTGTAAAGATACTTGTAGCCTTTTTTTGAGGGGTGGTAAACATTCAATGTCTTCTCCCGCCCGGGTGAGGCGAGGGAGTGTCAGACTTACTGACTAAAAACCACCCCGTTCCTTCTCCTGCACTTCGAGCCGGAGCCCCGGCAACCCGTTAAATCTTCCGCGGCTCCGTATCGGCATCAGCTCTTTTGAGCCCCATCTGTGGTGCCCTGAAGCCTATTTGCAGAAATATGTGGCGACACAATGTCACAAGTCAACGAATGACGTCACAAAATTCCTACATCGCACATGCAAAGTTTACGTGCAAATTAACACGGATAGAAAATCCCAACGAGCAACTGTTGGTCAGAAAGCCCGCCAGGCACGATCACCTCGCCTGGTCGGAGGATCCTCCTTCCTTAGGGAACTATACTCTATGTTCCCTAAAAATAAATTCACTTATTTCACTTATGCAGCCTCAGTTTCATCTTCTTAGGCTCCTTCAGTCAGTGATTCACTAACAAGAACGACTCTTGATTTGACTATAAAGAATGAAAGATTAAGGGTTCGATTACCAGTTCAGTTCAATTTAATTAACATT